AACAAACAGGAAGTTCCAGTTAACCTTTATAGAACCAGCCCATAGCTTTTTCTTCTCATCCCCCCCATGTCCCTAGTCATCAAAACAAACTAGGTATTGCTCTTTTCTGGGCACCTATGCTGGGAGCAATATCCTGACTGCTGTCATTCCCCCCTCCCCCCCGCGACACACCCACCCTCTTTTGAAAGTTAGGGTAGTTTTCCTTAAAATGTATTGGAATTGTCCTTGAGATTTGATTAGCTCTAGGGACTAAGACTTGGGCCATTGTTCTGACTTCCTGATCACCTGGGTACAAAATAGGACAAGAGGACCTGAAACTCCTTCATGAGGATTCATTTTGTTGACCAGCAGCATGAACAGTGCCGTAAAGTTGTGCTCAACTGAATTAGTGCTTTATCCTGGTTGGACATCCTTTCCTTGCCCTGAACATTCTTACCCTACTATGGCTAGGTAAACCTCCTTTTGTTAATTGATAGTTGGATTACAAGTGTCTCGTTTTGTTCCAGTATTGGACCTAAATTGCTGGGGACCCACATGAGTCAGACCCAGCATATTACAATACCCCAAATGACTTTTCTCTTCTCACTCATGATTATTTTGTTCATTTTAACTTGTGTAAGATTTATAAAAATTCAAAGAGAAGGAATGTCTTCCACAATGTATGTAATTCTGTCTCAATTCTAGACAACTTCCCTCTCTTCCAATTCCCCCAGACACTTGTGATATCAGTTGTGTCATGTCATAAGCTGGACAAAGATTACTTCCCCATACTTGTCTGGTTGAACAAAGTGTTTGTGTCTAACATGACCTTCATAAAAAAAATACTTGGTTAAAATGTCCAGTAACGAGGTATAGCTGTCCTTGGTGCTGAATGTTTAGGCACCTTTATTAGGACTATTCCAACAACTTAACCGTTTGGAGGCAGCTGTTGCAGAATGGAAATATTATTGGATTTGGAGTCATAAGATAAGAGTTCTAATATTGGCTCTGCTACTTACTAGCAGTGCCACTTTGGGCAAAACACTTAGCATCTCTGTGAAATGGGTATAGTACTTGACACTATAGTTGTGAGGAAGCAGCTTTGTAAGCTCTAAGGTAGTGTAGAAATGTGAGTTGTTTTTAAGGTGAGACTTGTTAAAAATGACAATATTGAGCACTGGTCTTTGGGTTGTAAAATGTCATATTTATCATTCTGAAAAAGAAGTTAAACTTTCAATCAAGATTGACTTTTGATGGTAAGGATCTCTCCACTAATACTAATACTAAGAATGGTCTGGAAAATAGGCACCCAAAGTAAGCAGTGAAATTGTTCAGTTGTTTGTGTTATAAGAAGTTTTCATGAGGTCCTTCTATCCCTCCACCCCCACCCTGATAGGGATTGTTTTTCCCAATATTCAGTTGATCTCAAGAGACCTCCCTGCCAAAAAAAAGTTATTGAACCTTTCTATAACCCTCTCCTAAAATTCAAGGTAGCTAATATTAGATTCAAAACTGCCTTCACTTCTTGTTGAAAGGACCGATGGCTGAACATATACCTATCCTTTTAAAATGTAATGGAAGAACAATGAACTCCCTTTTTTAAATGATGGGGAAGGGAACTTTGAAAAGAAACGGCAGTTGGCTACTATTTACGCTCTCTGTGTGAATTCCACTGTCTTTGGACTTTGGAAGTTGAGGGGCAAGAACACATGAACAGGTTCTTAATGATCCCCCATCTTTCCTGTCATGAAATGCCTTTCCTGTGTTAGAAATGGAATTGAGAGTCACTTGTAACCTGGAAGCTTTTTCTGATGGTTTAATTGTGGAACTGGATTCACTTGCTTACTACGAAGTTTCACTCTACTAATGTTCTTTTTCCCACCTCTTTCAAAAATAAAGGCATACTCAATAAATACAATTCTCTACTATCCAATGTAATATGATATTGCTTGTCGGTTTGGGGAGAAAACAAATTGCTTGCTCTGTGAATTGGGATTTCCTCTCTTTAAAATCAGCTTAGAGCAAATCCCTAGACATAACATCCTGATTGAAAAATGCATTAGAGGATCCCATTGCTATGTTATTTTCTTAAAGTAACAGTTTTTCTTTTTATAAGAGATGATTATAACCAGAATGTATGTTATTTTAAATATTACATTTGTGATTTTCTTTTGAAATATTACCACTCTGCATAACTCAAAATGGTTTTTTTAAAAACATATTGGTTATCACAGACTCCTAGGGTTGGAAAGGACCTTAGAGGTCATATTTCAACTTTCACTCAAAGCAGGAATCCTCTCTTGCAGCATCCCTGACAGTTGGTCATCCACCATCGACTGACTATTTCCAGTAATGGACACTACCATATAAGGCAGTCCATTACAGTTTTGTACAATGCTAATTCAAAATCTGTCTTTATGGAGGCAAATCCCAGTTGTCTGTACCTTCCACATGTTGGTCCTAGTTCTTTTCTTTGATGTTTTATTAATTCATATATCCAACAATTTTAAATTGCTTTCTACTTATAATGTGTTGTGTTTCAGTGCTTCAAGTGACAGAGCCCCTGCCCTCAACAAGTCTATAGTCTAATATTAAGGGCATAAAGTAGTATGTAAGAACTCTTTTATATCCAAAATGTCCTAAATACCAAAGATAGGCACCAAGTACCTGAAGATTCATAGGAGAGGGAGTTCACATCTGATTGGGAGGATGAGAGGATACTCATTTTGTGCCGGGACTTGAAGGATGGCTAGGCTTTTGAGAAAGAAAATGATGACTGGGAGTAGGATGCTTAAAGTGAAAGGAACCCCATCAATAATGTTATGAATATTTAGCGCTTGTTATCCAACAAGCACTGTAGTTGAGTTTCTGCTAGTAGCAAATGTTACTTTCCCGTAACTGTCCTTCACCCACAACAGAAGAGTTTAAACAAAACCATTGAAAACATTGACTGTACTTGGTGCCTTGGTGTCAGTCCACCACTTTTTTCCCAGAGAGGAGTCCAGATTAAGTTCATAGCCCTACAAACATCTGTAATACATGTATCAAGTTAGTCATCAAGTCGTGTCAATTTGTCCCCCTTTTGGAATGTCTTTTCTGCTATCTTTTCTTTCCTATTCCTGTTGCTACCACAAGAATAAGAATAATAGTAACAAACATTTGTTTAACATTTTAAGGTTTGCAAAGTGCTTTACATATATTCTCAGTTAATTCTCACCACAACACTGAGGTGATATTATTATCCTCAGTTTGCAGATGAGGAAACTGAGGCTGAAGTTAAGTGACATGCCCAGAGTGACACAGCTAGTTAAGTGTCTGAGCTAGAATTCACAATTAGATCTTCCTGACCCCAAATCCAGCATATTGTCTGTTGTACTAAATTGTCTTCTAATTCAAGCCTGCATAATTTTGTGTGTAATTTACTGTAACATGCTATCAAATTATAAGCTTTTTGAAGGTAGGGATTGCCTTTCTTATTTGTATCTCCAGTCACTTAACAAAGTGTCTAGAACTTAGTAGGTGCTTAATGAATGTTTATTGACCAGTGACTATTGACAGTCTTGCACTTGGTCTCCTAGACTTGTCCTTCTTGAGTGCATCCAGCATACCACTTCCAGAAAATAGTCTTCCATAAAAATCATTTTCATTGCATTAATCCCCTAAAAGAATCCTTCAGTGATGCTGCTTATTCTATCCAGTTCAAATGCCTTTGTCTAGATGGGTTTTTAAGTACTGAGATGTCTCGTTCGATTCCCATTCCCGCATCTTTCCTTACCCACATACCCAAACTATATAGGATCATAGATTTAGAAGTGGAAGGAACCTTAAAAAGCCAACCCCCTCATTGTACAGATAAGCAAACTGAAGTATGGAAAGGTTAAGTGATTTGGCCAGGGTCACACAACTAGATTAGGTGTCTAAGGCAGAATTTGAACTCATACATTTCTAACTCTGTCCACTTAGTAAATTTCATTATAGTACCATCTACTTCAGTTAATCTCTTGTCTTCATTGCCTCACAAATACAGCCATCCTCATTCTAACTGGTCTCTCTGCTTTTGTTCATGGTGGCCCCAATGTCTCGCCCCCTAATATTTTCCCTCTATGGCCTGGGGGCGGGTGGAGAGTGTGGTGAAGGGGGAAAAGAAAAGGATTTGGAGTGAGAGGACCTAATTCAGTTCCTGTTTCTGTCATTCACTTACTTGTGTATTCCTTGGCAAGTAACTTCTGGATTTCAGTGTCCTCATCAATAAAATAGGGGCAGATTGAGCTCAGCAGTTCTTAACCTTTTTTTTATGTGTGTCATGGACCCCTTTGGCAGTCTGCTGAAGTTTAGGGACACCTTCTCAGAATGATGTTTTTAAATAATTGAACCAAAAACCAAACCTCAGTTAGAGGTTAGTGAAAATAAAGATGGGATTTTTATTCCCCCTTCTCAAGTTCACAGACCCCTCTGTGGACTCCAGGTTAAGAACCCATGATCTACAGCAGGGGTGTCAAACTCAAAATAGAAATGGAGGCCACTAAACTGTACATCAGGATCCCTGTGGGCCACATATTAACTTAGTTTTAAAACGTGATATTGTCTGCATCTTACTGTATTTTTATCAATTTTCTTAAATATTCTCAATTACATTTTAATCTGGTTTGGTTGCACCCTGGAATGTTGTGGGCCCCATGCTTGACATCTCTAGCCTAGATGACCTCTGAGGATCCCTTGCACTCTCAAGTCTGTGATCTTGTGTTTCTGTGAGCCTGTCCTTTCATCCTTTTCCTCATTGGCTATTCAAATCCAAGGCCCTTCAGGGCCAGGTTTAGATCCCACCTCCTTCACCAAGTTCTCTGTGATTTTTCTCTCTTTTCCCCAAAAGCCTCTTAATTCCAGAGCTTTCTGTTTCTTATTTTTTGTTTACCCAGCATATAGCTCACTTTGTATATATTTGTTTGCATATTGTTTCTCTCCCCACCCCCCCAATAGATTGTAAGCTCCTTGAGGGCAGGGACTGTTTTTTGCCTCTTTTTCTATCCCAGTGCTTAACACTACCCTGGCACATAGCAGGTACTTAATAAATGCTTACTGAATTGAACTGCATTTTTAGGGCATTTATAGTCCATACACACATGTTGTGTTTCCTTGTATATGGTTGCACTTAGATTCCTTTTTTGTTTCATATATTTGTTAGTTTTATATCCTCTGGGAGACTGTAAACTATTTGAGAATAAGGCTCATGTTTCCCAGTTCTTTGTGTTGACTTGTGTGTATCTGTTTAATTTCATTGTTAACTCTAGGATGGAAAATCTCTCCAAAAAGGGTGAGACAGTTTAGCTTCTCTGCCCTCCCTTCCTACTTTCCCAACTTGGATCTCCACAGCTGTTCTCTTGGTTGTCGCTTTCTTACTTCCAGGTAAAGTAAACCTTTGGGTTTTGACTAGGCAGTGGTTTATGTTTCTTGGATATTAAAACCGTTTCTTATTAGTCATAGAGTCTGTATGTTGGATTCAGCTCTTTATTTGGAATCCTTAGTGGGAGAGACATTTCTTGTGATAGGCTGATATGTGTACAGGTTATATAAGTAGCTTTTACCTTGTTCTCTCTTCCTTGGCCATCTCCTGGGAGCAGAATTTAAGAGACCAAAGAAAAAGGGTAAAGACTTATTAGCATTGACCAGCCCTTCTTCATGACTGCCTCTGGCATTCACAGTGAAATGGGCTTCACCCTCTTCAGATCACAGGCTTCTATGATAGTGATTAATTAACCCCTTTCCTCTTGAAAGTCCTTATGTCATCCTTTTGAGTTTGGGCTGTTTCAAAGAGATTAGTTGTCTTGAGCCTAATTTCGGATATAGCTACAGTGTGATGGGATTTATTGACTTTCGACTTCCAGACTCCAAGCAGAGGCATTAGTCAGAATTCAGGAAAGGATGTCAAGGAGGCAGGTGTTAAAAGAGAGTGTACCTTCTCAGTGTGGGAGAAGCCAAACTTTGTCAGCAGGAATTACCCATCATCTGATACCTTTCATTAATGGTCTTTGATAGAAAAGCAAGGCAGCGTCATCTGCTCTGTGGTAGGACAGATCTCGTTGTGCGTGCATGTGTGTGTGTGTGTGTGTGTATACACACACACATACACATACATACAGATACACAGTTATGTGCATATAATATATACATACATACATACATACATACAGTTAAGTGCTGGTAGTGAGAGTGGTAAGACGACTTAAAGTCAGGAGACCTAGATTCTAGTTCTGCCTCTCTAACTAGTGTCCTGATTTGGGGCAGTTTGTTTTCTCTCCCTCCAATTCATTTTCCTCATCTGTGAAATGAGGGAATTCGACTAGGTCTCTCAGGCCTTAGGATGATAATAGCCTCATTGATCTAGAGTTGGGAGGGAGCTCCAGGAGTCATCTAGTCATTTTACAGACAAGGAAACTGAGGAGTAAGGGAGTTAAGTGAGTTGGCCTAGGTCACATAGGTTAGTAAGCATCAGAGGCAGGATTAGAGCCCGGTTCCTCTTGACTTGACTCTTGACTCAGGGCTCTTTCCATCGGTACCTCCTTATCAGTCTTTGAAATCTTCCTATTCACTCCTTTCTAAACTACTTTTCTGTTGATTCTACTATTCCCCTCCTCTCATTACGGCCCTGTGTCTAGCCAGAGACATCTGACGTGTCTGATGACTTTATTTTCGTATGTTGTGTAAGATGTCTGTGAATTTCAAAGCTAAGAGATCCTCTCCTTTAAGCGTGTTATTGTATAGATAAGGTTCACCCTCCAACAGGGGAAAAAGTTATTTGACCAAGGTCAGATAGTTAGTGGCAGAATCAGGGCTAGAATCCGATTTCCTGACTCCCAATACAGTCAGCACTCCTTGAGCATTGTGATTTAATCAGCTACAAACCTACTTCCCTAGCTGCCATTGAGTCCTCTTGTCTACAAGTATATCATGAGAGGTTTTGTCCCATGCCTTGCTGAATTCCAGCTACTTAGCATTTCTTTGATTTATTAATCTAATAACCTGATGAAAATAGGAAATGAAACCACTATAGCAGGACACACAGTGAAGTTCCTTCCAGCTTTGTCACTTAATAGGCATGTGACCTTTGAAAGTCACTTTAACTCCCTGATCCTCAGTTTCCTCACCTGAAAAGGAGAGGCTTGGACTATGGGACTAGGTGATCTTCCAGGTCCTTTCAAACTCTAAAAGTCCTACAAAAACTTCTATTCAGGTATGTTAATAAAATTTATTTTGGTGCTTCCCATCAGTGCTTAGCACTCTGGCCTCTGCCTTTTGGAAGTGCTTTTAAGCAAGTTGAAATTGTAACTTTTTTCTTTGTTTAAGCTATTCCAACTCCTGGGATTTCCTCACAAATCAATCTGTACAATAATCTGTTAGAGAATTTTGTGGGGGATGTACTTCAAGCTCACTGGTCTGGGCTTTCCAGAATCCATCTCTAGGTTGCATGATGGATACGAGCACTGTGATTTAATTCAAGAAGACCTGAGTTCACATCTGACCTGTGTGACCCTAGGCAAGTCACTTAACATTTTGTCTTCCTCAGTTTCCTCATAGTAAAATGAGTATTATATTAGCCTGTGCCTCCCAGGGTTGTTGTGATGATCAAATAAAATAATATTTATAAAGTGTTTTATAAATCTCAAAAGAGTTTTATAAATGCTAGCTTACTATTATCTTATTATTATTTTCTCCATGATATCTCACAGATTATAGACAATGGTTTGGGCAACGTCTGCAAATTATATCAGTCCCTTAATTGAAAATGCATTTGAGCCAGGTGATCTGAACTCATTTAAAGCATCAGAGTACTTTCTCTCCCATTACTTATCTTGATCATTAGTTTCCTCCTTGACCAAATTTGTTCTTCCATTTCCAGTTTAAAGATCATTTTCTTTGATTGAGAATAGAGACAGAAGCAAAATAGGAGCTGAACAGTACAACTTTCTTCCAGTTTTGTGTTAATGCCACCCTAATTGCAGGAATTTTATTTGGTCTTATTCCTTCTTTGTTCCTACTATTGGGCAGTAAAGGGCAAAAAAAATCAGTGGATCCATGATGCCATCTGTGTGGACCACTGATGAAGGTTACAACCCCTATATGTTTTAGTAGACTACCTTCATGAATAGCTGACTAAATAATTCATTACCCTGTGACCATTCCTGTGATGAGCTTGTCTGGACTTACTTAGGCTGGACCTTGGTCAGATAGCACACATCAGGTCTATTAGGCACATATTTGAAGCTTTCTGTATTGGTGAGGGACCCATCAGAGTTTATCCTTTCCTGGCATAACTCTTAGGGACTGAGATCAACTCCATGCCACAGAAAGGCAAAAGAGAACTTTATTTTGCCCTTTATACTCTCTCTACTTCCTCTACTTTGTTGCTTCATTTTTAGACTCTTAAGTCACATGATAATGCTTGTTTTTTTCCCTGAGCTTTTTGCATTCTGCTTTCCTGAATGTCTAAGGTGTGTCAGACTGTGCCCTACGTGGTTATCGTGAATTGTCAAATGACCGTCACTTTATCCCAGGTTACCAGTTCTCTCATACTTTTCTAATTGTTTGGGCAGCTTAAATTATGTTTTATTTAACTACTTCAACATGCATCCGCACACCTGAGACATTAGAAGAAAGGAGAGTTGTAATCTTTTTCCAGTTTATAGACTTAAGCACATGAATTAATTGTGTGTTTGTGTGTAAACATACGCTTAGCTCAGGTTCTTAATAAATACCTGTTGAAGATGGATCGGTTCCCCTTCTCTCTTTAACTTCTTGTTGTTCAGGCTGCCGTTAAAATGTGTTTATGATTCCTCAGGAATTTTGTTTGGTAGAGGTTTTAGTACCCTGACCTAGAATTCAATAATTTACTGATTGACCTGTTATTTACAAGTCACGGTGCAGGATGAAATATACAAAGAAATGGACAGAGAGAAATCCCTGCCGTCAGGGTTGTTTAAGTCCTATGGGTGAAACATGACCCGTGTACATATCGAAATAGCTAACAGTACAAGGCATTCGTGTCAGATGAAGAGAATGGGCAGTGAGCACTATAGAAAATGGGAGTCTATAGATCATTGTGGGTTGGGAGTGGGGCATCAAAGAGAGATGAACCTAGGAGTATTCTGGACATCACAGGTTTTGATCATCCACGTATAATGAAGGCTTGACCATGTTCATATGAGTAAAGGAAGAGCAACACAGTATACAGCAAAGTGTCCTGGCTTGGAAATCAGGAGATAGGGTTCTCTCTGCGTTTTGGCATTCTGTGACTTTGGGCAAACTCTCAGGGCCTCAGTTTCCTCTTCAGTAAATCAGAAGATTCAATAAAAATCTGTATCTTGCATAGAACTGCTAGCATGGTATCAGGCTGTTATCCCCTTCCCTTTTCAAAGCTCAAGGTTCAAGTGCCCCGTCCGATCCATGCTGGTGACATGACGGTGGGCAAGTCTTTTAACCTCTCATTGCCACGGTAACTCTGGCATCTTGAGCTGCAGAAGAAGTGCTGATTGGCCATGGCTGAACGAAGAAGCTGGCTCTATGAAGGCAGTGGCAGTAGTCTGGGAGTAGCTGTATAGTAATGTCTCCTGATGTTGGAAAGACCTTGTGACATTAAAAAAAACCAACAACAAAGGACCTCAGCGTTTTAAATCTACATGGTTTTGTAGTACTAGTCAGAGTACAAACTGCTTGGGAACTTTTTTGGTAACACTCATGATCATAGTCTGAGGTATGAGAAAAAAATTATCTTTTAAGGTAAGCAATTTTGAGATATCCAAGGAACACAGATGAATCATTTGCAGGTCACTCAGAGAATGTGTTTCTTTACTTCCTGTTTTCAAGTCTTAAAAAAAGTTTTGAGTGGTTGAGAGGTGATATTTCTTACCAAGCATGGGACAACTAGGTGGTGCAGTGGATAGAGTGCTGGACCTGAAATCAGGAAGACTCATCTTTCTGAGTTAAAATCTGTCTTCAGAGACACACACACACACACACACACCCCATAGCTGTGTGAATCTGGGCAATTTACTTAAGTCTGTTTGCCTGAGTTTCCTCATCTGTAAAATGAGCTGGAAAAGAAGATGGCAAACCACTGTAGTATCTTTGCCAAGAAAACCCCAAATGGGGTCACGAAAAGTTGGGCACAACTGAAATGACTGAACAACCATATGACAGTGACTGTCTCTCAAGATTGTCAGAGAACCATCGTTCTTCAGTCCTATGACGTTATTGCCACTTTCTTTCCTAGGAAGGACCTCATTTCACTTCTAGAGGTAGGTGAGGAGGGTCTGGACCTGAGATTTCATTGCTTTAAGGAACTACTGGTGAGAAAACTCCCTCTGCTACTGCCAGTGAGAGGATACAAAGAAAGGCAAAAGTCAGACCCTGCTCTCAAAGAACTTAGACTCTAATGGACGAGGCAAAGTGCAAACAATTAAGTACAAACAAACTGTATCCAGAATAAATTGGAAATAATCAAAAGGGGAGGTGCTAGAATAGAGAGGGATCAGAAAAGGCCTCCTGTGGGAGGCGAGCTTTTAGCTGGGACTTGAAGGTGGCCACAGAAGGCAGGAGGTGGAGTTGAGGAGGGAGAACATTCTGTGCAGGAGGGACAGCCAGAGAAAATGCTCGGAGTCAGGAGATGGAGTGTTTTGTTGGAAGAATAGCGAGGAGTCCAGTGTCCTGGGACATTAAGTACTTCCCTTTCTTTCTCTTTGAACACACACAGCCCCCACTATCCTATCATTCAGTCCCTCATCAGTCCTGGCCTGGACTACTTTGAGAACTTCTTCTTCTTCTTTTTTTTTTTTGGTGTTGAGAGCTTCTTAATAGGTCTTACTACCTCAAATCTCCCCCCTCTCCAATCCATCCTTCACATAGCTACCAAAGTGATTTTCGGATTATGTCACTCCCCTACTCAGTAAACTCTTGCTGTTGTTCAGTCGGTTTTCAGTCATGTCCAACTCTTTGTGACCTCATTTGGGGTTTTCTCAGCAAATATACTGAAGTGGTTTGCTATTTCCTTCTGCAGCTCATTTTACAGATGAGGAAACTGAGGGTTAAGTGACTTGCACAAGGTTACACAGCTAGGAAGTGTCTGAGGCCAGATTTGAACTTAGGAAGATGAGTTTTCTTGATACCACCTAACTCCTTACTGACCGTAGGACTATGTGCCATTTGATTTTAATTACATCATTTCTCATTTTGTTTTACAATGTAGATAGCTATTGGTACAATAACACCTGGTCAGCCAGATGTTATTGTTGGCAGAGTGGTGGACTTGGAGTCAGGAAGTCAGTTCAAATCTAACCTCAGATATTTACTTGCTGTATGTGCCTAATCTTGAGACTTTCAACCTCAATTTCCTCATCTGTAAAATGGGAAATAGTACTACTGCAACAGGATTTTTGTGAGAATCAAATTGTGTGTGTGTATGTGTATGTCTTGTGTGCATGTGTACAGCACTTTGCAAACCTTGAATGTTATTACTAAATTTGTTAATGTACCCATTGGAGGTGTATGCTTAAGGGTTTTTGGTTGTTTTTGTTGTTTTTTACTGATAGGGATATGTAATCCAGAAAGTTTGGAGGCTACTGTTCAAGTCTGTATAGTCTCACCTTCCTTTTCAAGAGGCAGATGATAAAGCCCCAACTTAAACAGTTTCTCGTAGAGGGGTCGCCCTATTCTCTCTCTCTCTCTCTCTCTCTCTCTCTCTCTCTCTCTCTCTCTCTCTCTCTCTCTCTCTCTCTCTCTGTCTCTTTTTTTCTTGTCACATCTCTTTTAGAAGGTCAGCTTAACCTTGTAAGCATCCTGTGGAGAAAGTAGGTCTTTTCAGGCTGCCTAGCACAGTACCAGGCACATGTAGTTTTTTAGTATCCAAGTCTTCCTGACCACTTTTGGGGTTTTCTTGTCCAAGACACTGAAGTGGTTTGCCATTTCCTTCTCCAGTTCATTCTGAGGAAACTGAGGCAGGTAGGGTCAAGTGACTTGCCTAGGATCACACAGCTAGTGTGTGAGGCTAGCTTTGAGTCATCCTGACTCTAGGCCTGGCACTCTAGTAAACACTGTGCCATCTAGCTGCTCTGCCTGGCACATAATAGGCCATAAATCTTTATTGATTGATTTGTTGCATGAGGTAATCTTTTCTATATCCTGTCAAAACTCCAGCACAAAGAAATTGAACTTTAAAGTCTTTGGCATGAATTAAGTGTCTTTCAGAGTTACTGAGAAATAGATTGTCAGAAAGAAAGTGAGAAAATGAAGTACTTGGATATAATAATCTTCAAGTAGCAAGAAAACAATATGTGAAGAAAGTATGGGGAGCTTTCTTAAGTTAAATTTGGGGTTCAACTCAACAAATAATTAAATCCCTCTTGCGTACAGTGCACCATGCCTGTAAGAGGCAACATTTGTATGAGATAAAGTTCCTGCCTTCTCGGGTTTTGCGTTCTAGTTGGGGGATGGCTACAAGTCTGTGATGAGTCTTAGAGAGAGGTCAGGGTTTTAGTCTGAGTTTAGCTTGTGTGTTTCTGTCCAGTGAGGAAAATACATCCTGACCTGTCTGTATTCACTTACAATTGATAGATGTTTGAGTTTTTAATGTTATCTCCCAAGATACCACCCTTGCTGTGTGCTACCCATACATCTCTGGCCCAGAGATGAGGACTCCTGATTGGATTGGCAGCTTCGATTCTAAGCTATCTGGGTATTCCCCATCTGACACTCTAACCATTAAGTCACTGCTCTTATCTCAGCCTCTTCTCTCCCCCTACCACCCAATAGGCCTTTCAGTTTACTTTTATCTAAAAGTTGGAAATGACTAGGACCAACTGCAGAGGATCCCTCCTTAGAGTTAAAAGTTTAGTATATAGGAGATTCCTAATCTACTCTCCTCAGCAAAAAGCTGCTTAGGCACAGATAACCAAAAAAGTCTTCACCTGATTGGTTGAGGAGCACCACAGTGCCTCCCTTATGGGAAGACCTGTTATAAGAAAGTGTTGGGGGTGGGGAGAAGTTAGGATACTCCCCCCCACCCCCACCCCATTCCACTACCCGTAACATAATCTATCCTTTCACTTACAAATCTGTATCTTGGATTTGGCTTCAGTGAAGTATTCTAACCCTTCTGGCCTTTGTCTATTTTCAGATTTCCTATTGAGGAGATGGTTTAGGTAAATGGGTGTACAAAATATTGCCTCACGGGTATTTGATCTGGATCTATTAATAACTTCCCAAAGAAAAAAATAGCTTCCCTTCTCTCTCTCTGCCCAAACGCTTGATGCACAATTTTCAGAAGGGCCTAAGCCCTTTAAAAACAGCCCCAGACTCTACCATTCACTTCGGAAACATCTATTCCTCTTGTTAAACCTTCAGTGAATTGGACTTGAATCTTTATTGAATCTGCAGTCAGTCTTTGGGTTTAAGATTAAGGTTTGTTGAGATATTCCTTAAGGAATTGTGATTGAAGGTTGCTTGGGGTGCTGGACTTGGAGTCAGGAAGACCCGATTTCTAATCCTGTCTTATTACTCCTCCTCATTACCCTGAGCAAATCTGAGCCAATCAGGGCTTCCTAATGTCATGGTACTCTTCAAGAATGAAGGACAAACAATAACAACAGCAACCTGGGTGCCTCGCTTAAACTTCTTTTAACCTTAATTTCCTCCCCTGTAAAATGGGGATAGTGTTAGCATCTACTTCAGCAGGTTATTTTGAGCATCAAAAGATTGCTCTTTGTAAAGCTTGTAAGAACTCTATGTCATATTAGCTATTATTATTTTGATGAATACAGAATTGGTAATCCAAGGTTCCCATTTAACTTGTTAGAGTAAAATTCAACAAAAAGTATTAAGTGCCATGTTTTTTATGGGCAAAGCACAATACTACATTCATAGCTCTCAAGCTGAAAGGAACCCCAGAGATCATCTAGTTCAATGCCCTCATTTTGCAGATAAAGTAACAGAGGCGCAGAGACACTGTGTGATGTGCCCAGGGTCACCAAGTGGCAGAGTAGGTATTGGAATCCCGGTCCTCTACTGTATATCCAGCGCTTCTTCTAGATTTACACTTTTTCCCTTACTAGAATTTTCTGAACTCTAAGCTTGATTGTTGGCCCTGAGGAAAAGAGAAAAAAATTAACTATATGATTCCCCTCTCCTGGGGTTTATCTTAAGATATTGATTTTTTTTTTTGTCCAGACTTGTGATTAGGTGATGTGAAGAACTCCCAGTGTGGATATTCCCTGTAACAATGCATATAAGCAGCTCTTCTGTAATTAAGACTTTGGCCTGGGGCACTGAGATTAAGAGCTTTGCCCATAACCAACACTATGGAGGCATCGCTTGAATCTAAGTCTTCCTGACTCCAAGGCCCAGCCCTTTGTCCTTTCTTCCATATTGCCTCTTTTTAAAAGTCTTTGCATTTGACTATTTTGGAAAAAAAGTTTCAGTTTTTGGATTTAGTTTGTTGAAGAGGATTTTTTCTCTGTGGAGCAAACATTCCATAGCTTTTTTTAGGCTTTTAACTTTCAGCTGTAGTATCCTGTAGATCTCTCTGACCCTGGTACAAAATACCATAGTAAAATAATGGTTCCCAGGATGGGGGT